CAATCAGTCACCTTTATTTAACCAGGAAGAAAACCCGTTGAGATCAGCATCTCTTTTACAAGGATGACCTGGTCAAGAGGTCCGCACAACACGTCACAGTGTATCAGAGTTTAAATTTACATTGTGGTTTAAGTACAACAATTCAAAACTCAAATTGTTTAAAACAGATTTAGACATTTAGTCATTTAAAATGTACAGACCAAACTAATTACCAATTACGGCATCATGATTTAAATTTTTTACAGTTGATTAGCGCGACATTAATTAAGCAAACACGTTGATTACTAATTCAAACAAGAAAAAAAACTCAACAAATGAGAAGTCTGATGAGAAATCAGCACTAACAATTATAGTGTACAAGTAGAGACAAGAAAACATCTGCATGGACCAAACTTCTTTTTAATGTTATCAGTGAAGATCGACAAGAAGGGTCTAAGCGAGATAAGTGTTGACAATTTTAGATCCGTCTGTACGTTGTTCCAGGCTGAGGGGGCAGCGAAGCTGAACGCTTTTTTCCCTAGTTCAGTTCTGACAGGAGGAACTGACAGGAGGACTCGATCGTTGGAGCGCAGGGAATATTAACTGTGTGACATTTGTATTAAGGTGGTAAGATATAACGGGACTAGGTTCAGGAGGGTCTAATAGACGAAGGAAATCCAGTGAGTGAATCTGCGAGCTGYGAGAGATGACCAGCCTGATTTGACGTACAGCTCACAGTGATGAGCGAGGTAGTTGGACTAAGACCTGCTGATTACTCCTCATACACAACTGAAAACTGAAGGAGACAGAGTCTTCTCTTCTGTGGCTCCAAGACTCTGGAACTCCCTTCCTCTGACTCTCAGATCAGCAGACACAGTGACCTTCTTTTAAGGCCAGCTAAAAACTTCTCTTCTTAAATCTAATTTTGTTTACATTTGCTTTGTGTATTTTTTGTTCCATCTGAAGCACTTTGTGATCTATATATAAAAAAGTTTTACTTACTACTACTACTACTACAACACTTTCATCAATATGATGCCTCCTCTTCGTTTCAGGTTGTAACAGAAATAAGTCAAACATGGACGTCGATGGAGCTTTCATATGAAGAACATTACCAGACGTCTTTGCCACTGCTTAGATGCAATGAAGAGCTTCTTGAAACACTTGAGGATCATCAGGTAGGTGATCTGATTTACCACCTAAACTTTGCTTCTGGTCTCACGGAGAAGAATGCACATTGGTTGTAAAAAATAATTTGTTCTCAAGATTATTTGTCTGGTTGAAGGACAGATAGTTAAATGTTAAGATGAGAATGCAGGAAGGTGGTCCTGCTTGATTGTCTAATAGCACAGTTGAGAGTAAAGAGGTCCTTACTGAGTGCTTGGATTTATAGCTGCTGGGAAACTCGGGGCATTGTTGCTCTGTGTTGCTCTTTGAACACGCACACCAGATRTGTGGGAGGGTTACAGCCTGCAATTAGAAGTCCTGCCACTTTAGTGGCTCCATCTTTGTTAAAACGGTTGGGTTGCCATGCTGATGAGGTGGAATGTGTCTTGAGATAAAAACTGATATATGTCGTGATGTCACATCAGTATATCACGCACTCCTGGCTTGTGGTCGGGTGGCAGTGTGGTGTGCTTGAGTTTTACAGCAAACTAAGTCTTTTAGTTTATCAGCTGTAATTGCTCTGCCTTTTTTTGTCTTCAAGATTCAACTYCAGAGTGTCTTTCAGAGCAAGCATGTATATCACTTCCTGCTGCAAGCAGTGGAACTACAAAAGCAGCTGACTGTGGCAGACTCTGTGCTGATTGTTTGGATGGAGGTCCAAAGATCGTGGGCCTACCTTGAAAGCATCTTCAAAGGCTTTGACGACATTCACCAACAACTTCCTGCAGACACACAAAGATTCAAAGCAGTAGATGCTGAATTCCAAGTGTGTAAACACATAACAGTTTTGTAATTATGCAAAATACACTGTTTTTACCATTTTTATGCTTATTTTATTTTATTATTTTAATTTTTTCAGGAGTTAATGTTAAAGTGTGCTAAGACTAAAAATGTCATTGAGGCCACAAACAAACCACACCTGCTTGGGAAGTTGGAGGACTTGCAAAAAAGGTTCATGTTTACTTTAAACAACAAAATAATAATGAAAAAATAAGTGGGCTAATGATTGTCCCTGTATTTCTTTCCTGACAGACTGGCCTTATGTGAAAAAGCTCTTGCTGAATATCTGGAAACCAAGAGAATCGCTTTTCCCCGATTTTACTTTATATCATCCTCAGACTTGTTGGACATTCTCTCTAAATGGAGTCGTCCACAGGAGGTAATGTGGAGAATTTCATGATTGTTTTACTGAGCATTATTACCAGTGTTGTTTTAGTTAACGATGACGAAATATTTTCGTTGACGCCCCCTTTTTTCATGATGATAACGAGACGGTAACGAAATAAACATAGCTCTTTAATGACTAAGACGTGACGAAACGTGTGTGAGTTTTCGTTGAGGAGACGAGACTGGACGAAAATGTTAGTCGATGGTCTGTCAATCATTAAGATTGCAGAGTGGAGGGAGGGACAGCAGCGCTGTTGCACACATGCACACACACAGCAGCACAGAACATTTCCTCCTCTCATTCGGTAAAGAAGGAAGACAAACAGCCTGTTCCGCTTCGCAAAAAAAAAGCCCGTCCATCACCTGTAGCTTAACCAGAGAGTAACGTCTCCACCATTAGTAAAAGCTGTCGCAGGTCCATTCTGAGCTCAGAAGCTGTTTGTTTACGTTCATGACGAAAGTAAAACTCTTTTTTTTTTTTCCTTTGGCCAGAGGGAGTTAGCAACTGCACGTCAGTGCTTCTGTTTTGAATAAAAGCCTGGTGCATGTAAACACTCGTTTGCACAAGTTTAATAGTCTACTAAGTTTAGGACTGCATGATGTCTGTTTTTATAAATACGATGCATCTTCATCGTCCTGGCTGACAAATTTGAGTTGAACATGTGTGTTTCTCTTTATTGCTTATAATATTGGACATGTATATTTTGTATGTTCATTGCACTTTAGCAAATTCTGATAAATAAAGCCAYAAAGTGAGAATGTTTTTGTTTTGGGCATTTGTAGAGTAACACAAATTCACAAATGTTAACACAAATTTCTCGAATTAGTTTGTAAAGACTAATATGTTGTCTTTTTAAGACTAAAACTAAACAATTTTTTAAGCTTTCATCGACTAAAACTGGACTAAAACCATTAAATATAGAAATGACTAAAACTGACTGAAACTAAGAATTGTTTTTGTTCAAAAGACTAAAGACTAAAGTTAAAATGGCAGTCAAAAACAACACTGATTATTACTATTGTTGTGCCTAATAGATCTTCCATCACAGACAGTTTGTAATGATTGTTCTTTCTTAGGTAACTGTCCATCTGTCAAAACTTTTTGACAACTTGTCAGACCTAGAGTTTGCCAAAAGTGAGCAGTTGCATAAYCGCACACGTGCTGTAGGAATGTACAGCAAGGAGAAAGAATATGTCCCGTTTCAGAATGAATGTTTCTGTCATGGGCCGGTAAGATCATTTTCACAAGAATGTAAGCTGTCACGCTTCAAAAAATGACCAAGTCAGTGGTAAAAATCCTTGTTTTCAGGTGGAGACGTGGCTTGCTTCCCTTGAGGAGTCCATGAAGGAATCTGTCCGAGGTCACTTGTTTGAAGCTGTGTCTGTGTATGAGGACAGACCCAGAGAGCAGTGGATCCTTGAATTCCCAGCTCAAGTGGCTCTCACTGGATCACAAATCTGGTGGAGTAATGATATGGAGCTTGTGTTTCAAAAACTGGAGGAAGGATTTGAGTCAGCACTGAAAGACTACAACAAGAAACAGGTATGAGTTGTTGGTAATATTTAATTGTTTTTAATTAAACAAGCCTTTGTAAAGTACTAAAAGAAAACTCATTGTTTGTCACAAACACTTGCTTTTCAGTGATTAGGCATTTTCCCTGAATTTGTTGTAGTTTATTAGTTGTACCTAATAATTAAAAATTTAARGACACTTTTGTATAATTCAAACATAACAAAAAGGCTTCTAACTCAAAGGATGATCCAGTGTTGTGTCCGAATAAAAATAGACAACGTTAAAATAATCATTTTAATTTATATTTCAATTTTTTTAATAGCTGAGTGACATTTGCATTTTATGTATGTCATGGCTAAAGCTAACCATACCCTGTCTCAGTAAGCATGTAGAAAACACATKTCCCACAATGTTTTCTTTTTTTTAAGAAGTTACCAGCTTTTGCAATTTGTTTGGATTATTTTTTACCAGAGGAAACATTTGTCAAATACTTAAAAAACAAAACAAAACCGTTATTTGTCGCAGGTGGGAACATGTTCAAAGGTAAATGTTTATACTAATTTCTAATTCATATGGAGAGTCTGTTTCCCATTATTATTCCCACATTTTCCATAATGACATCTTAATCACTTGAGAGTCGATGACCTAAGCTGAGCTTGTGRAACCTCATTTTGGTTTATGCTCACAGTTGTATCATCACACTTGTCAGTTTCATCAGCACTACAAAAGGTTAACATGTCCTTGGTTGCTGTTTGAATAATCTGTGTCTTCCTCCAACTCACCACCCTACATTGATTGAAACTGCTGTCATAGAGCACCAGAGACAAATGATATCTAGAAATGTTTGAGTCAAAAGAACACAGGACTACTTTTCATTGTCTTTGAACTATATAGGTCCATGTTCTTGTGCTGCTAGTGGATTAAAATTTTAACGCTTTTAACACTGTAAGAGTGACACACAAAGTCTTGACCTAGTTAATGTAATATACTCCTGAAAATTAGCATAAATACAATGTTACATTGTTGCAATATTAATTATTGCATAAATTTGTATTTTATTGTTAATTTTTCTGTTTTATTTTGCCTAAAGATTACTCAACTCAACTCACTGGTTGGCATGCTGCTGGGAGAGTTGAGCCCAGGCGACAGACAGAAGATTATGACTGTCTGCACCGTTGATGTCCACGCTAGAGAYGTTGTTGCCAGTCTCATTGCTCAAAAGGTTCAGTCAAAAATAGATTTTATATAACCATGTTAAACTTCTTCATTTGAAATGATTGTTTAATGTCTGTTGCGCTTTCATAGGTTTCCACCTCWCAGTCATTCCAGTGGCTCTCCCAGCTGCGGCACAGCTGGAACGAGCAGCTTCACCACTGCTTTGTCAACATCTGTGATGCTCAGTTTCRTTACTCGTACGAGTATGTTGGAAACACGCCGCGCCTGGTCATCACCCCCCTCACTGATCGGTAACAGCTGCTTATCACACTGCAAAAGCTGTCCATTTTACCAAGTTTTAAAACCTTATATCAGCCAAAAAGTCTTTTTGATCTTGTTTTGAGACTGATTTACTAAACAAGAACTGACTGTGTAAGAATAATAATCTTGTTTTCAGAATGTGTAAGATTATTTGTCTTGTTAGTCTGAAAATTTGACTCAAATTAAGTCAAAATTTTCTGCCAATGGAGTAAGAAAATTTTACTTGGTAAGATTCTTGAAATAAGAAAAAAGTTAGTCAAATCAAGTATTTCATGAATCTTACCAAGTAAAATTTTCTTACTCCATTGGCAGAACTTTTTGACTTAATTTGAGTCAAATTTTCAGACTAACAAGACAAATAATCTTACACATTCTGAAAACAAGATTATTATTCTTACACAATCATTTCTTGTTTAGTAAATCAGTCTCAAAATGAGATCAAAAAGACTTTTTTTGTCTGGATATAAGATTTTAAAACTTGGTTAGGTGGACAGTTTTTGCAGTGTAGTTGTCAATCTGAATTAAATTATCAAGTTTACAGCATAWATGAATACAAGACTGCTCACTCCTGTTTCTGTTTGTTTGCTGTTTGTTAGATGCTACATCACCTTGACTCAGTCACTCCACCTGACCATGAGCGGAGCMCCATCAGGCCCAGCTGGAACTGGGAAAACTGAGACCACAAAAGATCTCGGCAAGGCCATGGGTGTCATGGTGTACATTTTCAACTGTTCTGAACAGATGGACTACAAGGTTAGATTTTTATTTATATATTTGTCTTTATTATTTGGTTGCTAAACTTTTTTAACAAACCAAAAAACCCTCTGTTTATATTAAGTCGATTGGAAAYATCTACAAGGGTCTGGCTCAGACTGGAGCGTGGGGCTGCTTTGATGAATTCAATCGTATCCCTGTGGATGTTCTCTCAGTTGTTGCAGTTCAGGTGAAAACCATTCAGGATGCAATTCGGTCGAAAAAGACAAAGTGGGTAGTTGAAGCTAATATGAAAAATAGTTCACTAATGGTTCATCCTAGAACTGTGTGTTCACAAATTGAGTTTGTTTGTCGCCTCACAGGTTCCTCTTTCTCAATCAAGAGATTGTCTTAAAACCATCAGTTGGRATTTTCATCACTATGAACCCCGGCTATGCAGGTAGAGCAGAGCTACCTGAAAACCTCAAGGCTCTTTTTAGGTAGGAATGACTCAGTAGCATTCTTTTTTTTAATCATTTTTTTTAAATAACGAAACTCATTCAGTGCATTTGGTGTTCTGTTTTAGGCCTTGTGCCATGGTGGTGCCGGACACAGAGCTTATTTGTGAGATAATGCTGGTGGCAGAGGGCTTTTGTGGTGCTAAGATGTTAGCCAAGAAGTTTACTACTTTATACAACCTCTGCAATGAATTGCTCTCAAAGCAGGTTGGTGAAACAGCCCTTTGTATTTCCATTATATTTTAAAATGAATTAAAGCTTCAGTTACATCTGAGCAACACTGCAAAACAAAAACCAATAATGAAAAATGATGTGGTTAGACTCAAAGACTTTTTTTCTTGTAGGATCACTACGATTGGGGTTTACGTGCTGTAAAGTCTGTGCTGGTTCTGGCTGGTGCTCTGAGAAGAAGAAACAAAACTAAACCAGAGGATCAGGTGATTTATGAGAACATGTAACCTTCTRGGTGAGAGTTTCTCCTTCGTAAGTTTGTGTGTTCATTCCAGGTGTTGATGCGTGCACTGAGGGACTTCAACATGCCTAAAATTGCGACTGAGGACATCACTGTCTTCTTGGGACTGCTTGGAGACCTGTTCCCAGGCCTGGAGGTGGAGAGAGAAAGAGACTGTGATTTTGAGAAGGCCGTCAAAGAAACCACGCTCAAGCTTGGACTGCAGCCTGAGGAAACCTTTATCCTCAAGGTTTGACATAAAGTGGAGAAAACAAACCTGCCTCAAAATGAATCAAACCTGTGTAAACATTGTTATTTTTGTTAGGTTGTACAGCTGGAGGAGCTCATGGCCGTGCGTCACTCCGTGTTTGTTGTTGGAGGTGCAGGGGCTGGGAAAAGCCAGGTTGGATTTCTGTGCAAACAGTTGTGCAAATAACATTTAGTGACGGATGCTAAACGTGGCTTGCTTATATCTTCAACAGATCTTGAGAGTGCTTCATAAAACACATGCAGACTTGAAGAGGAGGCCAGTCTGGAATGATCTCAATCCAAAGGCCATAGACAGAGACGAACTGTTTGGTTTTATTCATCCTGCAACTCGGGAGTGGAAAGATGGTAAACAGAACTGGTTTAAAAAAAACTCCAAAACTACACATTAGGGCAACTGTTAGCAGACAGAATTCAAACCATTTCTCACTGAATTTAAAAGCATAAACACATTCAAATGTCAGTTTTGTACACAACCTCAACACATTGCAACATCACCTAAAACCTCTGTTAGAATCATGTATGTATCCATAGAACAGATATACACAGCTAGAGTTCATTGGAAGGAGAAGGTGATTTGAGCTTAACAGAGTATTTTTGTAAACCCCAAGTTTCTGCATATATGTTTCTTCTATGTGATCCATCACATTAAACGGAGGACTATGTCAAATTTAGTCAAAATTACCTTTTTAAGCTGCATTTTGATACATGGATCACACATATTAGATAGGGGGCAACAATACAGAAAATTCACGATTCGGTTCGGTTCGATACTTTAGTCTCACGGTTCGATATTTTTTCGATGCAAATAACAGAAATTTCCATGCCCTTTTTAACTTGTAATGTATTGAAATTATTTATGAACATTTGTTTAACCTCAAAAGTACCGTTTTTAAATTAAATTTAAACAAATTTTCTCAGTGGATCTGCACTCAAAAATACAGCCTAGATAGAGTAGTTGAACACAGATCCCCTGATCCTTCAACACAGAGCATCTTCAGAAGACAAGTTCATAAAATAAATTTAAAAAATCTGTATTGTTCGATGTAAGTGTGTATTGAACCTAAGGCACTGTAATGAACGGTTCAATATGGGTACATGTACTGTTGCGCCCCTAATAATCAGTTTTAAAATTCCCTTTTANTTGCTGAAACAGCAAGTTTATCAGTGGATCTGCACTCAAAAATACAGCCTAGATAGAGTAGTTGAACACAGATCCCCTGATCCTTCAACACAGAGCATCTTCAGAAGGCAAGTTCATAAAATAAATTTAAAAAATCTGTATTGTTCGATGTAAGTGTGTATTGAACCAAAAGCACTGTATTGAATGGTTCGATACGGGTACATGTATTGTTGCACCCCTAATATTAGAGCTCAAAAATGTACTGAACAGAACAAAAGAGTAAGAAAATGGGAAATACTATTGTCTGTGACTCTTAATGTGTGTTTAAATTGTTTTTTAAAGAACAAGTTGTCTTATATTATGACAAATGAAAGTATTTCTACTCTTAGTGGAATCTCTGTTCCATACATCCTTCAATTTCTGTGCAAGGTTTGCTTTCTTCGCTGATGCGAGAGCAGGCAAACATCTCCCACCCTGGGCCTAAGTGGATTGTGTTGGATGGAGACATTGATCCGATGTGGATTGAATCGCTCAACACAGTGATGGATGATAACAAGGTGCCTCCCTTCTGTTCACTCATACACTACACAGAGCAACTAAGGTGGTATGTGCAGAAAAAAATGTTACTTGTTTCCCCTCCTTGAAGTGTAAGTACTAGGGGGTTCTTTTTGAGAGCAATGAATCATTTCAGCCTGAAGCAAGTTTTTTTTTCTAAACTGATGGGATTTGAAGGCGTTTTTTTACTCATCGTTTAATGCCTCAAATGTCAGAATATCTGGAGACAAAATGCTTTTTAATCCCTTTTAGGTTCTGACTCTTGCCAGTAATGAGCGCATACCACTTACCCCATCCATGAGACTGGTTTTTGAAATCAGTCACCTAAGGATGGCTACTCCTGCCACGGTATCTAGAGCTGGAATACTTTGCGTTAACCAGCAGGACCTGGGCTGGAACCCGTGAGTTACATGGAAACCTATTTCAAACTCTACTTTATATTTTTTATGATTTCAAACATCGGAAGAGGCCGATTTTTGTGTTGTCTTATGTGTCTTGGATTGTTGTTTAGGATTGTTGCCAGTTGGATTGACCAACGAGAACGTCAGACAGAAAGGGCTCATCTGATAATACTGTTTGAAAAATATGTTCCACGTTGTTTGGAATGCATGAAAAACACATTCAAAACAATTACGCCAATCCCTGAGAACTCYATGGTGCAGGTATTTGACACACAAACATTTTCAATTAGTTTTACTATCAGAAAATTTCAAGACAACAACCATCTTCTCATGCAGACACTCTGCACGTTGCTGGACTGCCTTCTAACACCAGAGAACATTCCAGCTGAGTCCCCACGTGAGATCTATGAGACATATTTCACCTTTGCTTGCATCTGGGCTTTCGGTGGAGCACTCTGTCAGGATCAGGTATTCATATTTAATTAGAAAAACACAACAGATTTAGATTTTTATCTAGTCATTAATGACCTGTTTTTTATATCCCAGTATATTCATAATAATGTATTCTTTAATTGTGCAATTTATTTTTCAGAAGTCAAACACCTTGCATGCAGAGTTTAGTGAAATTAAATAGTTGAGTTTTTTGTTTGAGCTTTGTTAATAAACAAAACAAAAATGAGTGTAATGAATTGTTCCGATTGGAAGCCCGTATGAAACGCGGAAAACTGATTAAGTTCTCAGTTAAATGTTTATTTATTTTTGTAAAGACATCATTTCACTCTGAGCATGTGTGTGGCTCCAGATATCTAAACAAAAACACACAATGGCAGCCGATCACATGAACACATGGGCACACCCCGGTTATGATGTCACAGTAAACAAGGAAGGACCCTAAAAGGCCCTGTGAYACGCCTATCCTTCAAATACAAAAAGTCAAAAAAAACATCTTTACACTTAAGAAAATTGCCATAGTACACACAACTTAACCCATTTCGTCACATAACTGGCATACTTTCTTTTGAATTTGGCTCAGCCAAAGTGAAACAGGAAGTGACATCAAAGGGGAACTCAATAATAAAATAAACTTGCTGGTCTTTGTTTATTAAAACAAAATTATTTAATCTTTAACTCTTCTTCGTCTCTCTTTGATAGCGACTCAAAATAATCTAAAGAAACATCAGATTCTTCTCAACAGTCTGTGTTGTTAGCTTTTGTAACAACGCTCTGTTTACATGCTGACATTCCCCTTTGACATCACTTCCTGTTTCTTCACATGCAAATATCTTAACAACCGTTCATCTCAGCRACATGAAATTTGTTTTGCTACAGGTTATCAATGATATCTTTCCAAAAATGCATTCATGTTTATTACAAATCTCTGATGTTGCAGACACTTTAAAACAGMTCTACATGTTTTTACCCTGCTGTTTATTCTCTAACTGTTTAAAGTATTTGACTGCAATTGTTCACAAAGTATGATATAAGACTATCTAAAATTCAGTTAATCTAGCTCAAAATATTAAACATGAGTCTTACTATACTTATCTGTTATTTGTGTGATCTGTACTGAAAACTCATACAACACGTAATATGAAAGTTTTTCAACTAGTTAAGCTGAGACCCTGCTCTGTATCACGGTTTATCCAAATATAGGGGGATTAATGACACAGCCCATCCTCACATGACTTATAGTTTAGACTATAAGGGATCATTTAATCTTAACCTCTTAACTTGTTTGTTTTGTCTGTGTCCAGATGCAAATGTAGAAATCGATCCATTCTTTTGTCTTTTTGGTTATTTGTTTAGTTACACGATTATCGAGTTGAGTTTAGTCAGTGGTGGACCAAAGAAATGAAGACTGTGAAGCTTCCAGCACAAGGGACAGTGTTTGACTACYACCTTGACCATCAAAGCAGACGCTTTCTGCCCTGGGCTGATTCTGTGCCACAGTTTGAAATGGAAACTTCCACACCATTACAGGTAGGAACTTGCAAAGTATAACAAAAAAAAAAGTTTGCGAGGAAATGTTCACTAGGAAAGTAAAGCAAACTTTTTCAAAGGTGTTTACTAATAATCACAATCACAAAAAGCAAAATAACCAAAAATGAACAATACAAGGATATTAAAAATGTTTGAATGCTTCAGTGAACATAATAAGAGAGGGTAAAGTCACATCATGAGGATATGGCAGGGGTGCCGGAATGGATGATAGGCTTACCACTGTGTCTGATTACCATCTACCAGAGTGTGTACCAGTGTGTGGGGGTGAAGGCATGAGCAACAAGACTTGAGCTATCACCCACGCTCTTTTGTCTTTCTTTATGCTCCTGCGTACAGCTGTGAATGCTCCAAAGGCTCTTGCTGAGCCATAATTAGTGGGGTTTTGTTCTGAGCAAATGATGCTATTATGACAGAATAGTTGTGGTGTTCTGAGGAAATCCAAGAAATTATAAATCACATACAATTCACTGAACACATGTCTGTCAATAAATCACACTCAAAGAAAGCCATAATAACCATGTATGTTTCTGTTCTGTGTCTTCCCGCTGTTTGTGTGATTGCAGGCTGTTCTGGTGCACACAGTGGAAACTGTGCGTCTTTGGTACTTCATGGACTTGTTGCTGGAGAGGAGACAGCCGGTGATGCTTGTGGGAAATACTGGAGTGGGAAAGACTGCACTTGTCAAGAACAAGTTGGACTCTCTGCCAGATAGTTACACAACCTCAAAAGTACCCTTTAACTACTACACTACCTCCCTCATGTTGCAAGGTGATTGGGCTTTTTTTTTTTTTTTGTTATTCTATAGTGCACTGTAGCACATCAAGACAACCGTAGCACCATCTGCTGGCTATGATTAGATTCAAAGAATAAGAAACTTTACCCTAATGCTTTCAGTAATTTACTTTAATTAGACAAACCTAAATTTTCAGTGCTCGTTTTCATATTGTATTTATATATTACAAGCCTTGTATGCTTTTGTTGAGCTTCTTTTTTGTGTTTGCAGATATTCTCGAGCAATCGCTAGAGAAAAGAGCAGGCAGGAGCTACTTTCCTCCAGGCAACAAGAGGCTGGTCTACTTCATAGATGACATGAACATACCAGCTGTTGACAGCTATGGAACAGTACAACCTCATGCACTTATACGCCAACATTTGGATTATAGACACTGGTGAGAAGGCTCATCAGCACAAACCAATAAATTAATATGTGCATCATACGTTCCCCCTCTAATCTCACCACTGTAGAGGTTTCAACAAAACGTCTCTAAATTACAAAAAACTGACCTTTTACAGAATCATATGGATAGATCCTGGCGGATTGCACTGTTAACTGTAAAAAAATCAATAATCAATGGATAAATTACAAATCATGCCAATAATAGCTTTGAGTGCTTGTTTGTTTTCTTACCAAAATCCTAACTTTTCTGTTTGGTGTAGGTACTGCAGACAAAAACTGGCTTTAAAAGAAATACAAAACACTCAGTATGTTGCCTGTATGAACCCAGCTGCTGGGAGCTTTATCATAAACCCCAGGTTACAGGTATGTTTATCAATAAAACTGCTCCATTTAAAACAAATCTTCCCAAAAGGGTCATTAATGTATTAATTTAGCACAAAAAGTAAAGACATTTATGTTTGGTAGATTATTTCTTTGTTGTAACGATGCTTCTTGGCAATGAATCTTTTAGGAGTCACCTGAATGGCAGCACGGGGGGGGGG